GTTAATACATCTTGTCTTTCGGTTCACTGTTCTTTTACCTTATTAGTACGAGTATTTTTAGCTGAGACTAAGTACATTATTTTCTAAAGTGTGATTGCTTAAGAATTGAATGCTCCCAGGGCACCTGGGTGGCTCGGTCGGTTAAGCATCTGACTTCAGCTCAGGTCATGATCTCACGGTTCGTGAGTTCAAGCCCTGCATTGGGCTCTCCACTCTCAGCACAGAGCCCACTTCAGATCCTCTCTCTCCCTCTCTCTCTTCCCCTTCTCTCTCTCTCTCTCTGTCACAAATAAATAAATATTTAAAAATAAAACATAGTTAGATGCTCCCTTACCTGTGTTTTCATGGTATTTTCTTCATATAACCATTAGTGCAGAAATGGTTTGATTTTCTAAGTTTTGTCACACTGGACTGCAAAGTCCAAAATTAGAAGCCACACTTTATTCATTTTTATGTCCCCACACTTAGGATAGTGCTTGTACAAAGGAAGGAATCAATAAATGATTTTTATATTGAAGAAAAGGGCAGATGATAAGAATAGCCATTTGGAGAAAACAAATCAAGCAGTTGAATCTGAAACTCTAATATTATTGTAATGAAAGAATTTCAAATATTGAAAAATTTTATGTTATCTTACTGACTAATCCTGGGAAGCATTTTGTATTGATTTATGTTTTTAATCGTCTGGTTCATTTGAAATAGGAGAAATCTTGGGGCACCTGGATGGTTTAGTCAGTTAAGCATCTGACTTCAGCTCAGGTCATGATCTCACGGTTCATGAGTTCAAGCCCCACATCAGGCTCTGAGCTGACAGCTCAGAACCTGGAGCCTGCTTTGGTTACACTGATACACTCCCCTTGTCTTCCTCTCTGTCTGCCCCTCCCCTGCATGCACTCTGCCTCTCTCTCAAAAATGAATAAACATTTTAAAAAAAGAAATAGGAGAAAACTTAAAGGTAGAAACATTTGTTTAGAGCTTATGTTTTATTTTAATCAATTTTGCCTAAATGGAAATTCATATTATTATCTTCAAGAGATATTTTCAACTTTTAGAAACAAAAAGCAAGTCACATATAAATGTAGATCTTTTTTGTATCAGCCCCACTAAAAGCTACCTTTTTATCTCTGATTATTACTCTGAGTATTTCTACCAAGGAATTATAGGTTTCTTACACCATAAAGAGTATCACCTTTATTTGTATATATTTTACTTTCTTCTAGTCATTTTTTTACTTTGTGTTCATTAACACAAAGTAGTTAAGAATTTAGTTAAGAATTGAGATTTTTGTCTGCACGGCGTGATCCCTGACCAGACATAATTTAAGAGTCAACTTAGGACCATTAAGAAGATTTGCCATTGTGTTACAGTGCGGAGAAATCCTTCTGTGGAAGGTAGAACGGTGGCCCACCACATCCTAAGCCCTGGGAATATGTTACCTTACATGAAACAGGGGACTTTGCAGAGGTGATTAAGTTAAGAATATTGGCATGGAAAGAATTTCCATATGAATAATCACAAAGGCCTTCTTTGTGAAGGAAGGCAGGACAGGCAGAGTCAGAGACTTGAAGGGGATGCACTGCTTGATGGAGGAAGGGGACACACAAGGGAGGTGTGCAGGTAGTCTCTGGGAACTAGAAAAGGTGAGAAAACAGACTCTTTTCTGGAGCCTCCACTGAGGAATGCAGCATTGCTGACAGCTCAAGTTTAGCCCAGTGAGAACCATTTTGGACTTTTGAGCTCCAGAAATGTAAGATAGTAGTTTTGCATTTTTTTTTAATTTGTAAGGAAAATATTACTTGCCATCCATAAAAATGGAGCTTTGCACTCGCAACTAATGATCAAAATCCTACACTGCCCTGCACTCGCAACTAATGATCAAAATCCTACACTGCTCTATGTGCATGTGGTAATTTGTTACAGCAGCAAAGCAAACTGATACACTCCCCTTGTATTATTCTACATACATGATATTATTGGTAAATGAAAAGCCCCTCCTGTCATGCAGGCCAGAGACAGCTGCATGTGATCAGTCTCGCTAGTCTGACTAGTGTTCACGAGTGTGGTCAGGGTGACTGGTGACCAGTGAGAATACATAACACATAAGGCCGGTGGCAAATTGACTCAGGCAGACAAAACAAGATGCCTTCGAAAAACTCAGTGACCTGAGGCATATCCTTAACAGTCAGATGACCAAGACAGTAGTCTTGAGAGTAAATGCCCAATAAGACATGAGAAGGACAAGGCAGGAAATTGTACTCTGTTAACTCATGTACCATATATTCTAGGTTTAGCACAAAATGAGAAAGAATGTAGATAGAACTTCTATGAGCAAAAGAAGACAGTTTGCTATTTCATGGGCTATAAATTACAGAGCATATAAAGAAAGATCATATCCAGAAACAGAATATATTGAAAAATTAGACAGCCATTAAAAATATTTTCACAGACAAAATAGAAAGACAATAAACTAAGAAAAAACATTTGCCTTATTTTTTTATATGTGTTGAACTTTCAAATGCTGACTGCGAATCAAGGGGATAGGTATTTTATTCAGGCTATTGCAACAGAGAGAATATCCAAAGGCAGTGTTTCCTGGAAAATGGGAAACGAGATATTTTATATAGCAAAGAAACAAATTGGCAGAGTCCCAGTTACAAGTTTGGTAAGCAATCAGGCAATCTTTCAGAAAAAACGCGCGCATGCATGTGTGGGGGTGGGGGGAAGAGAGGGGGAGAGAGAGAGAGAGGGAGAGAGAGAGAGAGAGAGAGGAGTGGGGAGAGAGAGAGATAGGGAGAGAGAGAGAGATAGGGAGAGAAGAAAGAGGGAAAGAAAGAGAGATAGGGAGAGAGAGAAAAAAAAGAGTGGGGGCGTAGGAAGAGAGATTTGGCCTGTTCTAGTCCATTACATCCTGTTCTTGGAGTTGTTAACTCAAAGAAGGAATTTAGAGGGATGGATTAGTCTCTCAGTACCAGGGAGCACCAGGGTCCGTGTGCCTTCAGAGAAGAAAATTTTACATTTCTCCACACAGGCAAAAGACAAGTATATTTGCCTATCTGAAGATAAAGAAATTCTTTATAACTCTATGTATTTCTTGATCAGGGAAAACACCCCCTGCTGTAATAAATAAACTCTGAAATCTCAGTGGCTTAACACAGTAAAGCGCATTTCTCACAAAACTCTCCAAATCCAGTGTTCTTGGTGGGTAGCTCTCCTATACATAGTGATTAGTGTCTCGAGATCCTTCTTTCTGGTACCATTTTCAACAATGTGACTCCCACGGTCTCCTTGGGGGTCATTCCCTGCCATCTCTCTTAGAGGAAAAAAGAGGGTTGCAGGATCATGAAAGGAATGTTTTTATGGGCCAGGCTAAAAGTACCTCTGTAATCTTCCATTGGCCAGAATTTGGACATATAACTATTGTTAAGTGTAAGGATGGCTGGGAAATGTGGTCTAGCTGGGTTTTTAGAAGGAGAAGGGAATGGATTTTGTCGATCAATAAAATTTTAAATTAAACTTATAAATAAAAATTTTAAGTGATAATAAAAAAGGTGAACTTCCCAGTGGAAAAGTGGTCAATACCAAGGACTACTAAAAATATTCAAGAATATTAAGAATCATTAAGGATAAAGTTAAATAAGTCACAAAAAATCTACTTTTCATATTAAGCTGTCAATATTAAAAATAATGGTCCATGTTATTTTCCTAAGCTACTGAGAAATGGAGAGTCTCCGTCACTACAAGTGAGGGTATAAAATGGTTCCAAGTTCCAGAGGGCAATTGACAATATATGCCCCCAAATTTTTACATGTGCATAGTCTCTGATCTGGCCTTCCATTCAAAAAAATTTATCATAAATAAATCTCAGAAAAGTGTTCAAAGATTGACTGAAGTCATCCTTGACTTCTGTTTTTCATACACTACATGAAATCTGTCAGGAAATCGTGTTAGATTTACTTTCACGGTATATCCAAAATCTGACTCCTTTTTTCCACCTTTAGTCCTTCTATCTTTCTTACCTACAGTCCAATTTTAACACAAGCAGCCATTGTGATTCTTTTAAAACCTGTGTCGTTCCTCTACCCTAAAAGCCCCCCAAGAGCTCCAAACTTTTCTCATCTCAGAGGAAAAGCCAAACCGGCTGCATAGGATCTGCCACACCCAGGTCAATGGCAAACTTCTCTGATCTCATCTTTTACTCCCCCACCCCACCCTCACTCCCCAGCTCACTTTGCTCAGGACACACAGGCTTCCTTGCCATTCCTGCACGTGTCAAGTGTGTTCCCTCCTCGGGACCTTGCGGTTCACTGTCCCTATCTCTGCTCAGATATCAGGGAAGCCTACCAAATTCCTCCATGCAAGAAAGCAATGTGCCCCCTCTACCTCTCTCTCTCCTATTTCCCCTTACACTGCTTGATTTCTCCCCATCACATTTATCACCACCTGATATATTACATATCCTTGTTCACCTGAGTGTTACTGGTCTTCAGTTGTAATGAGGTCAGGGGTTTTGTAACTCCTAGAAGAGTGCCTGGCACATGGAAGGCATTCAGTAAGTGTTTGTTGAATGAGTGAATAAAATATTGCAAAATTTCTGAAACATTAAAAAATAGGGGACTGGTTAAATAAACTGGATGGTGCACTTAAGGGTCAGACAGACCCTCTGTCTGAACTTCTGCTAAGACAGAATCGAAAGCCTAGACGTGCAGAAAATAAAACTAGAATGTGTTTTGTATCTCCTAGGAGGAAATTCTGGGAATACCAATTTCTAAAGAGGTAACAGTTACTTTTCTTACCCAACTGGTTTCTGAAACCATAGGAAAAGGAAGTTTCTCATCATAAAACGTGTTTTTGCGTTTATCGACTGCTCCTGTGGTCTCAAATAGGTTTCTCTGTGAAAATGGGTGTTTCCAAGGGCAAAGAGGATTTTTAAAAAGCAATCTTATTCTTTGCAGGTTGTATTAGTGTGCTGGAGTGTCCATAGGAAAATGCCTGCAGACTGCTTGGTTTAAAGAGCAGAAATTTATTTCCTCACAGTTCTGAAAGATGGGAAGTCCAAGATCAAGGTCCAACAGGGCTGCGTTTCTGATGAGGACACTCTTTCTGGCTTGCAGATGGCTGTCTTCTCACTGTGTCCTCAGTTGGTCTTTCCTCAGTGCAGATTCATCGAAAGGGAGAGGCTGAGACAGAGCAAGCACGTGTGCGTGAGCACAAGCTCAGGTATCAGACCATCAAACCTATTGGATTAGGGCCTCACTGTTATGACCTCATTTAACCGTAATTACCTCTTAAATGCTGTATCTCATCTTTGTAGTCGCAGCATTTAGAACAAGATACTTGTACTTATTCGTCAAAAATGTTTTAGTCAAGGAAAGCTTGAATTTGGGGCAGCAGTCATATATATTTCTCTATCTCTGTATCTCTGTATCTATCCATCTATCGATCATCTATCCATCTATCCAACTTACTAAACAAATGTAACTCAGTGAGGTACAAATAAGAAATGGTTATAGTCTCCTCCAAATACTGCCCTTAAAACAGCCATTTTAAATCCCGCCCCCCCCCCACACCCCCACCTCCTGTCACAGATATCTTGTCACATCTGTAGGTTCTATAACTTCTTGGTCAATTTCAGTGATTAAAAATCCATTCAGTCTAGAACTCCAATTTCATATCCAAATAAAAGATTTCTTTTTTCTGTCATCTGCTAGCATGGCGGTTTGAAGGACTGGAAATGGGGAGACGGTATGGCCTTCTCTTTACCTCTTTCCCATTTTCTACCTTGGAGGGAAGAGTGTAGTTTACTTCTGGGCTGTAGGTCCTTCCTTCCTTTTCTGGTTCCTAGCTTCTCCAGGGAGTGGACACGGGGAGGAGCCAGAGGGATAAAAGGGGCCATCATCGTCATCTTCCTCAGGCTGTTTGGCACTCACTGTTGGACCAACACCACCCTGCCATTGACAATGGTCTCTCCATAGCAGGTATTCAGATACTGGATTTCCAGAGGAGGCACAAATAGGAGTTCTTTAGGGGCCTTCCCAGTCCACAGTGTCTCGTTTAAATTTTTCCAACTCTCCTCAGCTCTTGCACTAAGTAGCATACTCCTGAACTTTTGTTTTTATTGCCGGGGGACTTTTTTTGCCCAGTAGTTAGTTTTGTGTGTGTGTGTTGGTGTGAACATGATGGCACAAGCCCAGCTTTGTGGTACTCACTCGGCCTACCAGAAACTCACATTCTCATCAAAGCAGAAGCGATAGCTGGGCTACACCACAAGCCTTCCTGTTTCTCTTACTGACATTCACCAATTCCTTTTTTCCTGTTCACGTAGACTTTAGGAAGATGGACTGGCCTGTGTCCTAATTTGAGGTATGAGTAGAAAACGGAGTGCAGGCACCCCCAGACTTTGCAAGTAATTCTCTTACAGCCCTTCTCACTTGGCCTTTTGGAAATGGGTAGGGAAAAGCCACAGTAGAACTTTGTTAAGCCAACAATTTATGACTCCAGTGATTCTCATTTTTTCTCCTCCTTCTCTGGCTTATATGATTTGGGATAATTGTGGTTATTGAGGGGCCAGTGCTGCTGATTTAGTATGTGCAAATACTTACTGCTTCTTTATCTTCAGCTTTGGACCCTGGCTGTCAGTTTTGGGTCAACAGGGAAAGTTCTACACAAGTTCAGGTCACATATCCTCTCTTGAACTTCATTTCACTCTTCTCTTTTGGAGGGTGCTTATAGAGCTTGTGTCTTATTTTACGCATATTAGCATACTATGAGATGCAAGACAGCTATCCCCCATTTTGCTGATGAAACTGAGATAGTGACAGGCAATCCAGGACAAATTAACTGAAAACTCTTCTGTGACCACAGTCAAGTCTGCACCCCTCCTCGACTGTGTCTGCAAAACGTAGCACCTTTTTCAACTCCAGAACATGGCATTGTTCTTTCGGGCTTACAAGTTTGTCTGCTGGAGAAGCGAACAAAAACCCTTGGAGCTGAAGGCAAACCTCTTTACCCTAGACATGGTGGAGTACCCATCCTTCAAGTTTCCCTCACCTAACACCCAGGTTCCTGCCTTCCCAAGCCCCACAGTGATGAAGGGGCACTGATATTTCATTCTGTGTGTGAAATATAAATCCCTGTTTCCTTGGATCTGACAGTGTTCCTCAACGTTTCTTTAATAGGAATTTCCAAAGGACCTGGGAACCTTTATGCTTAAATACAACCCCTTCAGGCCTGCTGAGATGCTCCAGAGTTCTTGCATTGAGCATGCAGGCTACACACTGAGATGCTACCCTGTGTAACTATTAGTTAAGTATAAATGAATTAGTGAGTTAAAAATATAAACAGGAGTGCCGGGCTGGCTTAGTTAGTAGAACATGCAACTCCTGATTTCAGGGTCATGAGTTCAAGTCCCACACTGGGCATGATGCCTACTTAAAAATATATATATACATATAAATATATATATACACACATATAAATATAAACATATAAAAATATATATTTTTATATTTATATATACATATAAATATATACATATATACACACATATATATTTATGTGTGTGTGTATATATATGTATGTGTATATATATGTATATGTATATTTATATATACACATATAAACATACTCAGGGGCACCTGGCTGGCTGAGTCAGTTTAGCCTGCAACTCTTGATCTTGGGTTATGAGTTCAAGCCCCATGTTGGGCCTCAGGGTTACTTAAAAAAAAAAAAAAAAACAATAAACAAACAAGCAAAAACATATATATGTGTGTGTGTGTATGTGTGTGTGTATGGATTAAACATATATATATATGGATTAAACATATATATATACACATATATATACACACATATATACATATGTGTGTATATATATGTGTGTATATATATGTATATATGTGTGTGTATGTGTGTGTGTGTATATATATATATATATATATATATATATATATATATATATATATGGATTTCCAGAGAAGGCCCAAGTGTAAGTTCTTTAGGGGCCTTCCCCATCCCAGTGTCTTGTTTAAATTTATATATATTGTACTCCTAGTATATACAAGACCATTGTACTCCTAGCTTAGTTCAGTGATGCGTTTCCCTTCTAATAGAGTTAAAAAGGGAGAGCAGTAAAAAAAAAAAAAAAAAAAAAAAAAAAAAAAGCTTATATTTATAGCAAATCTATGTGCCAAGCACTGATAGTTATTTATATTCCATACATTTTCTCATCCAATCATCATAAATACCCTATGAGTTGGTATTATTTTCTTTGTTTTACAGACTAATTCAACAAAAGAGGTATAGAGAAGTTAAATTAACTGAACTAAGATCACTATTTAGAGGTACTGAATTCAAATTATATACAATCATATTGAAATATAATTGATCTCCAAGCCTGGCCCCCCCCCCAGCACAGAGGAGAAAGATGGAGACATCAAGGTGACCAAGTGGAGGTAGCATGTTGTTATGCGCCAAGGAGAGAAATCATAATCCTTACAATAACATATTTAATATGAATATGCTTTATATTGCATAGATATTAATAAAACATATTTCTTAGATGGACTTTAACGTTTCAAATTAAACTTCTTCCCCAAAACATGATGTTTCTTGAGGAACTCTCCTTTGCCTTTCTCACTGCTTTTCTTATGTCAAATGCTGTTTTAGCTGTGTTGGGTCATTATACAGTGACCTCCCTGCATTCATGCCCCTCTGTATGTGACACTGCCACACTTCCCCTCAAGAGACTGAATTTATCCCTCTGCTGGCTTGAATGCGGGCTGGCCTTATGACTTGCTCTGACCAGTAAAGAGTGGTAGAAACAAGCTTGTACCTGTGCCAAAACTGGGACCCATGAGGCCTTGGCAGCATCTGCCTCTGCCCTGTGGGAGCGCTATTCTGAGAGTGAGTTCAACAAAGGTGCCCAGGATGAAAGCGAGTTTGGAGAGCGAGGATCAGCCAATCCAGCTTTCTCAGCTGAGTGCAGTCACCAGCGCAACCACCAGCTGAATGCACCTTTCTGAAAAATAACGCATTGTTATTTCAGTCTCTTAAGTTTTAGGATGCTGGATTCTTCCAAAGCAATAATAGGTTAACCAGACAAAGTGGGATGGACCGGAAGTACAAAGTAATAGATTAATTCAACAGGAATGAGTAGCTAAAGTAGAAAGCAATAGATAAATGTAAGAGAAATTAGTATTGTTCCAACAAAACCCAAAGCACATGGCAGTCTTCAGGCCAGGCAGCAGGTGAATGCTGGAAGGGGCAGAGACGAGACTGTCGGTGAAAGCTAGAAAAGCAGGGAGGAGATTGCTCCTGGAGACCAGAGGGCAGAAAGTAGACCAATTAACTCTTGTCTGTGGTACCTTGTAAGGTAGTAAACATACCTAATGAACTCGTTGATCTCACTAATGTCATTTCCATGTAGAACACAGAAAGTAACAATTAGCTTCTTTTAGCTCTCTTTGATGGGAGGTGGCATTTTCTATCGCTGCCATAAAAAATTACAACAAACTCAACAGCTCAAACAGCATATATGTATCATTTTACAGTTCTGTTGAAGTCCAGAGGCAGTAAAAATTAAAACCAGATGAGTAAAATAGTATTTAGCTAGAGTTTATTGTGCACAAAAGAATAGCTCACGAACTAGGTCTTCAAATCCAACACTGAGATGAAACTCAGAGGCAGGATGTCATAGGATGGCTTATAAAGTGAAAATGAGGAAGTTGTTTAATCTTTACAATGACTGACGATCATAATAGGGGTTGATCATGAAGAGAGGCCTCTGAGCCTCTAACTTTCTTTGGACAGGAAGCAGGAGGCAGGCTGAGGGAGATACAAGAATATGGTAGAAGTGACATTATTTGAGACGCAGAGCCTAGATCTGGAAAAGGTGCCATAGCTTCCACAGTCACCCTCTCACCCCTCAAATACTGCTCTGAGACTACCAGGTATGTGAAGAAGCCTGGAATGACGGACTTTGAAGAGCTGAAGAGAGACAACCCGCCCCCACCCCCCCACCCCCATCCAAGCTGCCTCAGTTGAGCTAGCCCCTAGCCAATCTGCCAGATGAATGCAGCTTCCTGAATACAAGCCCAGGCAAGACCAATAGAATAACCACACAACTGCCTATAGAGTCATGAAAAATAACAAATCATGTTGTTTTAAACCACTGGATTTGGGTATGGTAGGTTGCTCAGTAGTAGGTAACTAAAATTGTAGTGTAAGTAGCTTCAGTAAGTAGTAAGATACAGCTTTTACTAGCTCACACATTATCTGTTTATATTGTACTTGTATCCCAAAAGACACATTACCTCATTTCCTGAGTAGAGATGGAAAAATATTATCATCATAAAATGCCTTGGATTGATAAGAATTATTTAATGTTTATTGAGTAACCATAAACTATAGTATTATTTTTAAACTAGAATGAAGTGATACTCACCGAATAAAAGTGTTTGTTTGTTTGTTTTTGTTTACTTTTTATGAAACTTCGCATTGCTGCAAATATACTCTTGGTTTACCCTCTACCTTGTATAGTGTGAGAAGAGTGATTTCCACTAGCTGTGTCACCCTCTAATGAATTCTGAAATAGATAAAGAAGCCATATAAAGAAGGAAAGAAGGAAAGAAAGAAAGAAAGAAAGAAAGAAAGAAAGAAAGAAAGAAAGAAAGAAAGAAACCTTTTTACCTGGACAATAAAGGGACCCTAGTTGAAGAGATAATAATGGAACAGTAAAAACGGTGGTCAGATGGCAACGCTGTCATTTTCATCAAAAAAATCACAAGATGCTCCATGTTTTTTCCGCTAACAATTTGCTTTAGTAAGATTCTGGCACTGTGGAGGATTTACTCATACACTCGTTTGCTTATTTATTTGGCAAATATTTACCGAGTGCTTCTTAATGAACCAGGCATTGTGTTAGATACTGGAGATACAAGAGTTAATGAGACAGTTATGGTTTCTGACTCACAAAGTCAGTGGGGAATAAGGGGGAGGTGGGTAATAGAAACGTAAATACACTGTTACAATCCAGTGTGATAGGCCCCAGGACAGGACGCTAGAGTAATAGGATTTTGTTGATTCTTCTTAAAAGTTTCTTTAACTCAATAGCTTCTTTCACTGCACCGTAAAACAAAAACAAAAACCAAAAAGCCTGCCATTCATTTTTGTAAAATGTTCATTTTTGCAGGGAGCGCTACATCTTGACCTCTCACTTTTCAGGTTTCTGGAGATCTATAAACGCCCTTGGATTATATCGTATGGGGATCCTTATATTGTGTTGGGTCCTGATACTACTGACCCATAAAAGATGCTGCATAATAGAAAGCATTATTCTTTGATTTTCCCTTAGGATTTCCAGCTGATGCCTAAATGGATTTTTTTGAAGAAAGAGTATCTTCAGAGAGCAAAATGAAGACCCTTCTTAATGTTACATGAGAAGCAGTTTCAAATTTCTAAAGCCAGCTTTTCCTCCTGACCCTTTAAATCTACAGCTGGGACTACCAGCCTCATTTTTTATTTGTTTTCAACTGTGTTCCCACACAGACATCTGGAGGATAAAGACCATTGCCCCGTGTATTCACCTTTGTAGACCCAGGAAGCACATAATATAAGTTTGTTGAATGGCTCCAAGAATTACTGCAGAAAAATTATCTTTTCATAATTTCCTATTGCGTTTCTGTCTGGCATACTCAAAACGTTGCTTTTTAAGCCACTTTAGCCAACCACCAAAATAGGAGAAGAAAAAAACAAGAAAGCATGCCGGTAACTATGCCTAGCTTTTTTTTTTTTTTTCTTACTCTCTTTTACATGTGAAAGATCATTCTAAAACGCTAGCTCAAGAAACGTAGTTTTTAATTGCTTTACATTATTCATAAGCGTCATTATTGTATAAGGTGTCAGGGACAATATGGTCCAAAAACAAAACTATGAGGGCAACGTATTTTGTCAAATTAAACTTGTAAAAGCCAGCACACTATGCATCATTTCAGTAAGATACCGTTAGGAGAGTGCCAAACAGATACGAGAAAACAAGGACAAGCAAGGAATGCACCACTCCTGCAGAAATTTACTTCGTCCTAGACAACAGATACTGAAAAGTGATTTTCCAACAAAAGCAGCAGCAGCCCTCAAGAAGGAATTGATAACCCTAGGAGTAAGCTTTCTTCCCTTAACTGCTGCAAAGTTGGACGGCACAGAAGCCCTCCTCCTCCCCCCCCCCCCCGCCCCCATCTTGGAGCTGAACTTGAGATCCGTGTTTGCTGTAGTTTTTCCGCAGTCAAGGCCTTTTCTCTTACCCCCTTTCAGGTTGCTCTTTACCCTTCTTCCTCTTCTTAGCTAAGGAAACGTAAAGTACAAAGAGAGAAGAGTTGCAGCCCCTTTCTCTCGCCTCCCCCGCCCGCCCCTCTTTCCGTGGCTCCGCACCTTCCCTTCCCCGCCTTCCGGGGGCAGCCCTACTGTGTTCCCTGGCTCCCGCTCCTCCCCTTCTCCACTTCTCCCCTCCGCCCCTCTCCCGGGCTCCTTCTTTCTCGCTTCCCTCCCCTCCCCCAGACTGGCTTCCCAGCGCGCTTCCCTTCCCCCGCCTCTCGGTCCCGCACCCTCCCCTCCCCCCGCCTCCTGCCTTGTGACACAGCCCGGGTCCTCCCGGAGGCGGCGGCAGCAGCAGCGGCAGCGGCAGCAGCAGCAGCAGCGGCCGCGGCAGTAGCCACCACCTCCGCGGGCGCCGCAGCCCCCGGCTCAGCCTCCCCCCGGCCCCGCCGCCGCCGCAGTCATGGCTGCTGACGGGGTGGACGAACGCTCGCCGCTGCTGTCAGCATCCCACTCGGGGAATGTCACTCCCACGGCCCCGCCGTACTTACAGGAAAGCAGCCCCAGAGGTAAGGCCAGCATAGACCTTTCTACTTCGTAAGGAAAAGCCTAGAATGTGAAAGACCAGGGAGCTGTAGCTCCGAGGCGGAGGCGAGCCTCTCACTTGGGCTGGGAGAGAGGGATGCTGACTGTGCCTTCCCAAGCCCGAACCTGCTTGGCTGGGAGCTTCCCCGCAGGGCTTTTGGTGGGGTGGGGTGGGGTGTGAGCGTGAGTGTGTGTGTGTGTGTGTGTGTGTGTGTGTGTGTGTGCGCGCGCGCGTGTGTATTTCACCGCTTCTCACCCGCTGGGTGTGTGTGGGGAGTGTGTGTGTGCGTGTGTGTGTGTGTGTGTGTGTGTGTGTGTGTGTGTGTGGCGCGCGTCCGTCCGCGTGTGTGTGTATTTCACCACTTCTTGCCCAGGGGTACAGGATGTGACATGAATTTCCCAAGCTGGGCTTTACTGTTTTAGAACAGCCCCTAAGTGCAGCTGGAGGAGGTGCAAATCTTTCACAATCATTCACAAATCCTTTCAGGTTGCTGAGAAACCCCTAGTACTGCTCACCTTGGGATCTGTCCTTGAAAGGGCTTAGCTTGAAAAATGTGCATCTCCTCCTGTTCCCCCACCAGTGCTCTGTTCAATCAGGGAATTGTCTCCCCAAAAGGAATAGAATTAATCAATATTCCTAATATGTCTGAAATTCCTGCCCTTCCCTGTTACTCCTCTTAGTAAGGAGTATGTGTTAGCTTTAATGGTGAATGATGAAGAATAGAAAGGAAGATGTACTATTTTTTATGCATGTCTGGGTGAGATTGAAATGAACTTACTTCTAAAAGTAACCCAAGTTAATCCTGCATGTATTTCTATTTATTTACTGCTCAGGATGGAATCAGAAACAATTTGATAGCGGTGGGATCTGAAGAAAGAAGTGTGTGGGTGGGGGGAGGTGTTTAGCAAACTATTCAAAGATCTTTGTTCTAAGCCTTGTAGTGGAGCTCTATAGTAGAAAGAAGGTGGAGTCAGGACTTATAGAAAATGGAAGACAAGACTTTAAAAAACCACTTAGAGTAATGAATGGTCAAATATGGCACTTGCCAACTGTAGCTTAAGTGCATCTCTCTTTTTGGCTGAATTTGAGAGGAGTTTAAAAACCCTAGGAGGAGACAGATGTTAATGCCTTTGAAAATATGGGCAGATCATGTTTCTTGTAACACAACTTTTTCTAAGTTCAAGTCTGGAATTGGAGCGGTTGTGGAGCAGGTTCAACTTGTTTAGTGTTTAAAATTTCCACTTAATGAATTACAACAATCTAGATCTTAATCTGCACTTAACAAGAAGCAGGACAGAGGAAAAAGATGTTCAGCTGTGAATAATTCAGTGTGATCAATGAGTTAAGAAATAAGGTGCAAAATGGAGCAGAGACTCACCTACAGAAAAGCCACAAGTCATGTTTGTAGGTCCATGTTAAACTTGCATCAGAGGATACCAGTTGGGGGAATTTCCTTTAATGCACAAATTTGATATTAATATTTTACTCTTAACCTAAATTGGGTGGTCTAGAAGAAGTTTAACCACCTATAAATGAATGTTTCATCAAGTCGCCCCTTGAGGCAAAACGTTTGCAATTTATTAAAAGACAAACTTTGGAGTTAAGCAACTGTCCTATGACAGATTTTCATGCCCTCTATCTTGCATCTTTGTTTTTGTATTTTTAGCCACAGTGGCAAAATTATTCCACAAAAATAGTCATACTCATGGACCTGCTTGTAGAATTCTGTATCATTTGCCATGTATTTGTTTAATCTGATAAAACCCCTCACATTACAGAAGAAGTTGCAAAGTCCAGTTCAGCCACTGAGAAAAAGAAGTTTCATTCCAGATAACTTAATAACCGAAGAAATTCAATGTATTAAAGAACGAAATTCAACTGAGTAAATTTGAAAGATCTTATTGGCTTGGGGCGCCTGGGTGGCTCAGTCAGTTAAGCATCCGACTTAGGCTCAGGTCATCATCTCACTGTTGGAGAGTTCCAGTTTGAGCCCTGAGTGGGGCTCTGTGCTGACAGTGGGGAGCCTGGATCCTGCTTCAGATTCTCTGTCTCCCTCTCTTTTTCTGCCCCTCCCCTGCTCATACTTTCTCTCTCTCAAAAATAAATAAAGGTTAAAAAATTGAAGACTTAACTGGCTTTATTTAATGATTCATGACTAGAGCAGCATCCCATCTAGCAGACAGAAGGGAGCTTCCAAAAGCTGTGCAAAATGAAAGACTTGTATAGGTGGAAGGGAGTGGGAACAAGGAAATTATACTGCCAAAAAGTGGAATGGTTGTGGGAAGACCAGTTTCCTTTATGGGATGGCAGGGGTCTATCAGGAAGATGACCTCACTCGTGCTGATCAGGTAGTTCCTGATTCACTTTAAGATTCCATTTCTGGAAGAGGTCAAAAGTGTAATTAAGTCTCAGTTTGGTGATATGGAGCTGAGCTTAAGTGACTCCATTTTGAGCCTGTTGTCTTGTTTTTAACAATTGATTTAGCTAAAAGCTGTTTCTGCCTTATGGTAGAATATAATTTTTTTTTCTATACCTGGTGGATAAGAAAGATTAGATAATTAGAAACACTAATTTCATGTGGCATAATACCTAGGAAGCAAGAAACATAGATGAGAAGTGAGAACGTTTTATGTGTTGGCATTTTTGTCAGAATATCTTCTCTTAACTAACAAATAAGCATCTTCATATATATTTTGAGTAATACACAAGATCTGATTCTAGAACACCAGTGCTATTTACCCATTCAGTGATTCACTGGGCAGCATGATGTGCTAGAGACTACTCTAGGTCAACAAGACTGACCAAACCCATCCCCTCTTGGAGCCCATGTTGAAGTGGGCAGAAATAATAAATAAACACAATGGCGAATTATTTGTATTGTAGGAAACACTCTGTTGCTAGACCAGATCTTTTCAGTCTTGAAAGTGGTTGACAAGAATTAGAATTGAAGGTTGGGATTCAAAATAGAATAGAATGTACTTTTTGATAACGAACTTTGTTTTATGATACCATTCATAATTATGCACTTTTTAAAAAAATAGTTAAGAGCCGTAACTCGTGATTATTTTCTCTAATCGAATCCTTTGCTGTTTGTGTTACCATCTAAGAACAGGAATGTTAGCTCTCACTCCAAGATGAAGTATTCCGTTTTAAGTTGAAAGTTGGTGAAGTGTTTATTTATAGACAGGTTATTGATAATGTAGTGGGAAGCAGTTAGTATTCTGCGTCTGGTTTTAGCGCAGTGAGAATCATGTATGGTCTGTGTAATAATCCACCTGGGTTTCTAAGTGGAATGCTTCTAGTGGTCTTTTACCATCAGTATCGGATTCCTGCACAGAGGAGAGGAGCACCTCTCCAGTGATTAGAATACTCCATTTGGTACATGTGTCAGCTTTTGTTAAGGCATAGACATTAAAAGCAAAGACAGGTTTAGGCTCATTTGAAAAAAAAGATTGGAAGAAATACCACAAAACTTACATAATTTGACTATATTTAATTGATTTCTTTATACATCTGCTATTTTTATAAGTAGGATATAGCAAGAGAATATGACCTTTATATTTATAGACGAGACTCTGTGAAAAATGGTTTATATTTGGGATTGCCTAATTATCCATGTATTGAATAGGGAATGTGCTTATCTACTTCACTATAATTTTAAAGGAATTGTTATAAGAGACAGTTCATTTACTTAGTTTATTTCTGTCATTCATTCAGCAAATAAATATTTGAGTACTAGCTAAGTTCTGTGATAGGATGGGAAAAACAGATATGGCCCCTCTTCCAGTCTAGTGGGGGATATTGAGACATCAATTACATAGTCATTTGAACAAATTCAAAGTGCAGTGGGGATAAGGACAGTGCCTGAAATTTATCCAGTGCAATGAAATTATATAATAAAAAGACTTAACCTGTTTAGGAAGACAGGGAAGGCTTTCCTGAGACTTTATTGAGACTTTGGTCTCCAAGTTGAACGTGGGGAAAGGGGGATTGGAAACACATTCTAGACTAAGAAAACATTCTGTTACAAAAGCCTTCAGGAGGATGGAGTATGATGAGTACAAGGAACTGGAAGAAGGCTGGTGTGGCTAATGTGGAAGCTAACAGGGAATACACTGCAAAATGGGATTGGAGAAGTGGGTATGGTTAATGTTCTCCAAAGACCCTTCTCGCCCTCCAAAGAGCTATGCTTTTTGATATTCAAGTCCTTGGATAGTTCCTCTCCTCCTTGAATCTGGACTGACCGTGTGGTTCAATTTTGATGTATAGGATAAAATAGAAGAGAACTGAATGACTTCAGAGACAAGGTCACAAGAGGTCTTGCAGCTTTTGCCTTGGTCTCTTATAAAACGTACCCTGAAGAAAGTAACTTGTCTTGTAAGAATTTGAATACACTGAGACTGCCATGCTTTAAGGAACCCCTGACTACACACCCCTTGACCAGCCCTCAGACATGTGAGTGAAGAAGCCATCTTGGATGCCCAGCCCAGTTGAGCCTTCAGATGACTCCAACTGAAGCCAAATTCTTATTGTAGCTGTATGATAGATTCTAGATGATTACCATCCAGCTCAAGCTGAACAATCCACAGAATCATGAAAGGTAGTATTAAACTGTTGTTTTAAACCACTAAGTTTTGGGGTGATTTGTTTTGCAGCAACAGACGGCCAGAGCAATTAAGTATTGCTCAGTCCATGCAGGCTATTATTGGTCATGTTGAGAAATTTTGCCTTCAACGAAGGGATGATCTGGTTACATCTTTATTATTGTTATTATTATTATTACATATTTATCATCATCATCATCATCATCATTATTTAAATGGAAATACAATTGACACACAACGTTACATTCATTTTAGGTGTAGAACACAGTGACTGGGATGTATGTTATGCTGTGCTCACCACAAGTATAGCTACCGTCTGTCAGTATACAACTCTCTTACAGTACCATTGACTATATTCTCTATGATGTGCCTTTTATCCATGGGACTTATTCATTTAATAATTGGAAATCTGTATCTTCCACTCCACGTTCTCCAATTTGCCCAACCTCCAACCCTCCTACCCCCTCCTACCTCCTCCCTCTGACCACCATCAGTGTGTTCTCTGTATTTATGGATCTGTTTTTGCTATTTGTTTGTTTTGTTTTTTAGATTCCATACGTATGTGAGGTATTTGTCTTTCTCTGTTTTTTTTTTTTTAAGTTTTTTTAAAAAACTGATTGAGGGGCGCCTGGGTGGCGCAGTCGGTTAAGCGTCCGACTTCAGCCAGGTCACGATCTCGCGGTCCATGAGTTCGAGCCCCGCGTCGGGCTCTGGGCTGATGGCTCAGAGCCTGGAGCCTGTTTCCGATTCTGTGTCTCCCTCTCTCTCTGCCCCTCACCCGTTCATGCTCTGTCTCTCTCTGTCCCAAAAATAAATAAACGTTGAAAAAAAATTAAAAACAAAACAAAACAAAAACTGATTGAGAGAGAGATAACTGGGAAGGGGCAGAGAGAGGGGAATAAAGAGAATCCCAAGCCGGCTCCACACTGTTAGCACAGAGCCCTACATGGGGTTCGATCCCATGAACCGTGAGATCATGACCGGAACTGAAATCAAGCGTCAGATGCTTAACTGACCGAACCACCCAGGCACCCCTGTCTTTTTATTTTTAGGTAGGCTCTGCACCCAGTGCAGAGCCCAATGTGGGGCTCAAACTCATACTCACAACCCTGTGATAAAGACTTGAGTTGAGATCAAGAGCTGGACGCTTAACCGACTGAGCTATCCGGGTGCCCCTGTCTTTCTCTGTCGTATTTTACTTAGCATAATACCTTTTTGGTCTATTCATGTTGTCATAAATGGCAGCATCTTGTTCTTTTTTATGGCAGAGTAATATTCCTGTGTGTGTGTTTCTGTGTGTGTGTGTGTGTGTGTGTATGTGTGTGTATACACACACATTGCATCTTCTTTATCCATTCCTGTGTTGATGGACTCTTAGGTTGCTTCCACATCTTGGCTATCATAAATAATGCTGCAGTATACATAGGGTGCATATATCTTTTTCAGTTAGTGTTTTTGTTTTCTTGGGGTAAATACTCAGTAGTGAAATACTGGATCATATGCCATTTCTATTTTTAATTTTTTGAGAAGCCTTCATACTGTTTTCTACAATGGATGCACCAGTTTGCATTCTCACCAACAGTGTAATGAAGAACGTTCCTTTTTTCTCCATATCCTTGCCAACACTGTTGTTTCTTGTGTTATTGATTTTAGCCATTCTGACAGGTGTGAGATGATATCTCATTGTAGTTTTGATTTGCATTTCTCTAATGCCTAGTGATGTTGAGCAGCTTTTCATGGTTTGGTTGGCCATCTGTATGTCTTCTTTGGAGAAATCTCTATTCTATTTTTATTATTTTTAAATCACTCTATTTCTAGAGTAGAAAATGAGTGACGGTGGAGCGAGAGTCAATGAGGATCCATGGCTTGAGTGGCCACTGAAATGATTCAGGCAGATCAGTTATGCTGTGATGATAGCTTGGACTCGGGTGGTGGAGGTGGAGACAAGATGATGTTAAGGAAGTAAATTAAAGACAACTTGATGGTAGATTGGCTGAGAGGGTGAGAAGGAGGTGGCAAGAATATCTCCCAGAGTTCTGGTGTCCACAGCCTGGTGTGATTGCCTACACTGAGAGATCCCCAGAAGAGCATCAGTTTTTGGGAAACACAGGTCATGAGCTTACTTTTAGACATGATACATTTAAGATGGTTTCAAATATCAAGAAGAGATGTCAGATAGGCAATTGGATCTACAGGTGTAGAGCTGAGAAATGAAGCCTGGGTTAAAAAACACAAAATCGTGTTATTTGTGTATTGGTGACAGCCAAGTACATGGATGTTGATTCAGAACTTCCCGAGGCCCCACCAGTGTGCCATGCAATGTGCTGAGATAGAACATACATGTATTAAGATATTGGTTATCATCAGTCCTTGGAACAGCAGAAGGCTTTAGGCCAGAGGCCTCCATCTCTGAGTACCTATAAAAATATTGTCATGTTCTCTGTGTACCAAAATGCACAAAAGTTTGGGAGACTATCTATGAGACCACTTAGGGAGAAAAAAAACAAAGTAAAAAGAAGAGAGAGCCTAGGGTAAAGCTTTGAGATTCTCCGACATTCAATGACTAGTTAGAGGAAGATGAACCTCCGAGAAGACTGATAAGTAGCTTCCAGGCAGGTAGGAGGAAAACCCAAAGACTCTCATATCACAGAATCAAGGAGAGGAAACACTTCAAGAAAGGAGTAGTCGAACATGTCCAAAGTTGCAAGAAAGAACAAATAGATAAGGGCTAAAAATGTCATTTGAACTTAGTGTCATGGAGGTCATTAGTAACCTCAGTGATAATTGTTTATACGTGTTTATATTCAAGTCCTTTTTAAAGAATTGAAAAATTATTCATTTCCACCTGATCTAATATTCTAATGTACATTTATTTTAATTGTAAGATCCCTTCAAAGTGACTTAACTAAAGGGAAGAGGCCAATTCTTTATTCTGAAACACACGTAGATTTCGTATGAAATGTAAGTAGACATTGTCATTTCCTTTTCGCCTTTGTTTCACTTTTTAAAAACGTGTACATTTGAAATTGCTTGAGGAAATGTTTTCAGTGACTAGAAAATAAATTCACTTCTGGTTGAAGAGATAAGTTATTTACTATGTAACCCCTGCATTCCTCACTTAGAAATTGTATAGTAAGTAAGGTATGTTTTTAGTGGTCTTCTGTCCTCTACCTGCAGAAATCTGAAGTTAGAAATGGTGCCTCAGTTTAAAGTGGGGCAAAGTCTTATTTCACTTAGAACTATGTTCTGTTCCAGCCTAGAGTTTTACTGAGTGTCTGAGTTCAGGCTGCTATCACAGAATACCATACACTGGGTGGCTGAAACACCACATTTCTTTCTCACAGTTCTGGAGGTTGGGAGGTCCAAGATCCAAGTGCCAATAGGTTTAGCATCTGGTGAGAGCTGAGAGTGTCTTCAGGTTGCAGAGTGCTGACTTCTTGTATCCTCTTCACATGATGGAAAGAGTGCGCGAGAACTCACTCTCCGCTTCCTTTCGTAATAGCGCTAGCCTCATGCATGAGGGTTTCGCCTGTATGGCCTAATTACCTCCCAAAGGCCCCACCTCCTAATACCATCACGCTGGGGGTGAGAGATTCAACACGAATTTTGAGGGGACGTAAACATTCAGTCCGGTGTGCTGAATTAGAGTTCTCGAATATATGTGGGCAGTCTGTTACATTTCTGAACCTCCTCGCATCCTTGCGGAGTTTGGGGTTGGCTGTGGATTGGCAGGAGAAGGTGAGGCAGACCCGGAGACCCACACCATACGCGTGACCCACTGTAAGGTTAGCGGCTGGACCACACACCCCGTGAAGGCCTCCCCGGGGGTGTGCACCGGCTGTGGTATGGAGCAAGTAGGGTCTTGCTGAAGCTGATTTTGTGATAGGCTAAAACTAACGCCACCTATAGGAGGACGATTTCAGACTGGTTCTTGGATCACAAGCTGCTTCGCTGAGGCCACATCCTTATGAAGGGAAAATGGAGCCCAAACGTCGGTGAAGTGTATCTGCTTCTAGTTTTCCAGTATTGCGGCAAGCCCATTTCTTATTACAACCCTTTCCCACCGTTTGGCAGGCATCCGTCTCCATGATTCTTTTTTTTTTTTTAATTTTTTTTTTCAACGTTTATTTATTTTTGGGACAGAGAGAGACAGAGCATGAACAGGGGAGGGGCAGAGAGAGAGAGGGAGACACAGAATCGGAAACAGGCTCCAGGCTCTGAGCCATCAGCCCAGAGCCCGACGCGGGGCTCGAACTCACGGACCGCCAGATCGTGACCTGGCTGAAGTCGGACGCTTAACCGACTGCGCCACCCAGGCGTCCCTGTTCTTTTATTCTATTTTATAATGCCCACACTTCCTCCTGGCTCTAGCCAGCATCTTTAGTACATTAATCAAGACGTGTTTCATTCAGTCAGTCATCCTTTCAAATATTTGAGTGCCTATTGTACTGTTCCAGATGCCTGGGAGCTTATGTTCCAGTGAGAGATACATACAGTGAGCACTATAATTTCAGAGAGTGTAGAAAATAAAGCAGGGTATGAGGATGGAGAGTTAACTGCATGGGGAGTGTCTCTGATTGCTTCAGGAAAGATACCTCAGACATGACAGTTGCTCAGAGACCTGAAAAATTAGTTGAAATCAACCATTGGAAGACAGGGGAGAAGTGTGCAAGTTGAAACATGCTGTTTGAAAACAAGGAGGGCGGTGGGTTACAGCGTGGTGTCTAAGGGGAAGTGTGGCGGAAGGGATTAGGGGACTGGACCAGGGAAGACAAGGAGGGTTTGTAGGTCACCGTCAGAGATATGGTTGCATTCCGAGGGTAATGGCAAACCGTGGAGGGGTTGGAGCAAAGGAGAAACGTGAAATGCTTTACTTTTTAAGAAAATCGGGGTATCTGAGTGGCTGTCAGTTGAGCATCCGACTTTGGCTCAGGTCATGATCTTGTATTTCATGAGGTCAAGCCCCACGTCGGGCTTGCTGCTGTCAGCACGGAGCCCGCTTTGGATCCTCTGTCCCTATCTCTCTCTGCCCCTCCCCCACTCACACTCTGTGTCAAAAATAAACATCAAAAAAAGAAAGAGAATCATCGTGGTTGGGATGTGGGGAGTGGATTACTGGGGGGAAAATAAGAAGACACTGAATAAGACAGGGCACTAATCAGGAGGCTGTTCATGTGGGCTAGGTAAGAGGTCTGAACCAGGGTGGAGGTGACGGAAGGAAGCAGTGAGACGTGGTTGGATTCAGGGCATATTTAAGCATAGAGCAGCAGGACTTGCCAACGGACTGAGTCAGTGGAAGGAAAGGAATCACAAATCTCCAAAAATGACCCAAGCAACTAGGAAACTCTTTTATCTAAGGTAGACAAACAGGAGAAGAAGTTGTGTATGTGGGGGCAGGGGGAAGGACAGTGGGAATCCATATTCTGTTTTATTTTATTTTATATTTTAAAAATGTTTATTTGGAGAGAGAGAGAGAGAGTGAGTGTACACACACAAGTGGGGGAGGGGCAGAGAGAGAGAGAGAGGAAGAGAGAATCCGAAGCAGGCTCCAAGCTTTCAGCGCAGAGCCCTATGGCAGAACCCAAGGCGGGGCTCGATTCTATGACCATGAGATCATGACCTGGGCCAAAATCAAAATCAAGAATCTGATGCTCCACTGACTGAGCCCCCCGGGTGCCCCTCAATACTCTGTTTTAGAAGCATTGAGTTTGAAATACCTTCACTCCTCACTCAGTTGGGGGTGTCGAGTAGGCAGTGGATGAGCAAGTCTGGGATATGAGGACACATCAGGGCTAAAGAGTAAATTTCATTCAGCAATTATTTATCATCTGTATGATAACACATCACTGTGGTGAGAGGTGATGCTGTGAATTTCCCATTCATTTCCAAGGACTTTGCATATGGTTTTCAGGAATGTCAAATGTTTAGGGTATAACATTGTTAAAATCTTGAAAGATTGGCAGATGGATACAGATGTTAGCCAGACGAATACAGATGTTAGAGAGGCGAGTTAGCCAGATGGATGTTCATTAACTATCTTAGAGGGCAATAAGCAACTATCTGGGAAGTGATCCAAATGGGGAAAAGCAGACAACATTGGATATAGTTTTGTGCTCAGCTGTTTTGTGTTTCAGTTTTGTAAGGATGAGGAGATGTTGTATACACTGGGAGGGATATCCCTCTATTAGCTCTTAAAAGGGAATACATTCTTCCTGTTGTTTTCTGTTCTTTTGAGAGGACTTCTCTACTTTTGGGGGTGGGGGGAATGTATTAGCGTTTGTGTTGCTTTGGCACTTTTCCAGATTCTTTCCTTTTCCTGATTGCTGTCGTAAAGTGAATTTTTTTTTTTTCCCGTAAGACTAAAAACAATGTGACAAAGGAATGGAAAGCATGGCTTCTCTTCCTGGCCTTCAGGTCAGTTTCTCAAGCACTGGATATCTAAATCCCTTTATAATGTCAGAGATGATCTCACTACCAGGTATGGTTTAGCCTGTGGGACTTGATGCTTGAGTTCTTTCTGCCAGTGGCTAGCTGCTGACCTGAGAATAGTTATTTGACATCTCTGTGCCTCAGTTTCCTAAATGAGAAGGCGTGGTTTAGTATATTTCCTTTTGCTTTGCTTTTCTATGACACAGTTGTTCTTGGTAAGCAATCTGGATACACCTACGAGAATAGATCTATAACTTTGAAATATAGGTGGTTATCTTATCTCACTCTTTCACTTCCAATGTCCCTCTTTCACTTAAGTTCCTACTCTATTACTCTCTGAAAATTGGAAAGATATTGTATTAAAGAGTATTACATAGCTCTTTTAAGCATTGGAAGTCCAACTAACGTGCAATATATTATTCTGTAGAAAGTATTTGTATGTGCCACATGACGGTTAGGGCATTCTATCAAAGCGTCTATTTCTAAAGGTAATGGCAAAATCCTTCTTCCAAGTTGAAATATTTAAGCTTGGTAGATTCATAATAGGGATTTGAAAACAGTGTATAAGAAAGTTTCTAATTGTTCAACATTTGAACATGTGGTTTCTACAGAGGGAGAATTTGGGGGAAGGTATGTTATAAGATGAAATCTTATAGTGTTAGAGATTAAAGTGCTAAGATTCACAGTCCAAAAGAAAAGAAACACAGGGTGAGAATAGTGAGTAGATTTAAGGTGAGAAGACTTTCATAAACACCCGAGTTGTTATTACTCTTAGGCCATAGGATGTTTCCCTAAAAAACACTGATATCTACTGAGCTGTATGAATTCTACCAATTAATACAAAACTATTTCAAAAATTTCTAAGAAAACCATTTTCAGATTTACAGAATTCAGGGATCCGGTTCTGTTGGTTCTCTGTACAGAATACTTTGCCATGCTCAACAAAAGGGTGTTTGTATTTGCTACCAGTCCTAAATGAAGATGTAGGTTATTACTAAAACTATTAGACATGCCTGAATACAAGATGACCTAAGTGGAAGCCATACGGTCTTTTATGACCTAGTCTCAGAAGTCAAATATAGTGTCACTTTCTGCCATGCTGTATTGGTAAGAGCAGTTAGAAACCACCTGGATTTAAGATGAAGAAACATAGACTTTACCTCTCAACGGGAGGAGTGTCCAAAAGTTGCAGGAATGTTGTAAAACCACCACAGAAACAAGCCTGGGATAGCCACGGACTGGAAAACCATGCAGCTAGGAAAGAAATGAGGAAACTCTCCATTCCATTATGGGAAGATTGCTGTGATATACAGTGGCTATACCCTCTATTGGCTATAATGAGGAACTTTCTCTCCTGGATTAACTTCTGGCTTTCGTTAGCAATCTCTGTATTTTGAAATGAAATTTAGTTAACCCATGGGGTAAAGATATCTGAACACTAGAATTTAAGGGACTTATTCACTAAATATCTTTATACACTTAGTGTATGCTTAAAAAATAAGTACTGGTTTTAGGAGGTTCATCTCACTCCA